TTTCCTAATATCTTTAAAAAATTAATTAAAAAAAAATAAAAGTGATGAGCTACATGTAAAACATTCCAACAGCACAGAACATTATTCAGTGGAAAGTCTAGATCATGCACCTTGAACTTTAGTCCCTAAATCCCATCCCCAGCATCAGCCTCTGTTTCTGGTTTGTCATGTATCCTGCAACAGTTACTTTTGCATATATGATCGTTTTTTAAATACCACAGATGTTTCTCTCTTCTATAGATAGTGGCTAATGTTGGGATATAAAGTTATTGTAGAATTGAATGTAATTTTTTTCATTAGGGGGAAATCAGGAAAGTTCTAGAAAAGAACTTCAGAGACACATTCTAGATAAGTAGGGAAGATTCTAGAAACCCTAAGTAGGTGAAAGTTAGTACTTTTAAAATTGGGCTGTAATGCATTCACTTGGACCATCCAAAGGGCTGAAATTTCTTACTTTTCCAGAGAATGCAGGAAGGACTAGCCAGTGGAAGAAAATGCTCTTCAGGGTATGCAGCAGATCTTTGTGTTTCAGGCTTGGAGTTTTGCATTTGATTCTTAACCTCTACCACTTACTGGATCTGTGGCCTTGGACAAATTATTTAACCTCAGGACCTTCGGTTTCCTCAACCCTGCGTTGGCTAGGGTCCCTACCTGCTGAGATGATGGGCGTAGAGCGCCTCGTCCAGGGTCCTGTTTTTCTCGTTTTCAAATGACGATTTTCAGTATTAAAGTGAGTGTTTGTTTTAGAAATCTTTGAGGAAGGTGGGAAGCAAAAACCAGCAATGCACATTAAATTGCTCTTATTTAGGGGACTCCTGATTTCTTCCCTTCTTCTCTTCCTCCCTGCTTTCTTACTGCCAGGATTGCCAAACTGCAGAATGCCAGTTGAATTGTAATTAAAAAAATTTTTTTAATGTTTTATTTTATATTAGAGAGACAGAGAGAGAGCGCGCGCACAAGCAGGGGAAGGGCAGAGAGATGGAGACAGTCTGAGCTGTCAGCACAGAGCCCGACATGGGGCTCGAAACTCACGAACTAACTGTGAGATCATGACCTGAGCAGAAGTTGGACGCTTAACCTACCGAGTCACCCAGGCGCCTCGAATTATAATTTTAGATAAACAATGAGTATAGCTTAAGTGTGTCCCAAATAGTACGTGGAAGATTTAACTGGCATCCTATGTTTTTATTTGCTGAATCTGGCAATGTGCTTACTGAGGACCTCTTTTAGAAGTTTCCCGCCCGTGGGCTATACCAGCGTCATGAACCGGGATAACATTATCTTGTCTCTGATGGAATACATCAGAGATCAGATGGAAACCCTTGGCATCTCGTGATGTGAAATTAGGAATTGAGGGTTAAACCATCCTCTCGCTCCCAGCCGGCAACTGTTGATGTTGTAATTATTCTTCAGTGCCTCGTTGCATTTCAGTGTTCCTTAAGCAGAAGACACTCTTAATATTATGCAAGACTTAAGGCAGGCTCTTGCCCTTCTCACCTCTGAAGAGTGGCCTGACTTACGTCTTCTTCTAAGACACAGTCATCTTTCCACCCTCCTTCGGGGCCAGGCTCTACTCTCCTTCGAGTGTTTCTGACCCTCCCAAGAGGGTCACATGGCCGGTGCTGCTACTGATGTTTATGAGTGGCCGAGTTGTGTGCTCAAAGGAATGGTTTGTTTCTGTCTTCCCCAGTGCTTACAAACACTGACCGGTAAATTCCTGTTAATTATGCCTAAATGTGTTGAGCGGTATTTGCGTTCAGAAATCATATGCACCTTTTTTGGGGCGTGTGGTGTATTCTTATTTTTCAAAGAAATTCCTCCTGACCTGGTCTGTGACATTAACCGTGACTGCGCCAACACCTTCATCAAGTTTTTGCTGGAGAAGCAGAAGTGGCCTGAAGTGCTTCTGCTGCTGACCCGCAAGGTAAACGGGGAGCCGCCCCTGGGCGACTGCCTCCTCAAGGGCTGCAACTTCTCCGACCTTGACCTCTGCGCCCTCATCCCCCACCTCAGCGCTTGGGACCCTCGGAGGATGCAGCTCCTGGGCTGCCTCATCGACAGTGGAGGTGAGAAGGCCCGTGATGAGCACTGGAGGCTTGTCCCCTGGGATGTCAGGCCACCGCTGGTCGCGGGGCTTTCACTTGGTTTTGGAGAGTCCTCTAAATGTTGCCCCATTCTCTTCTTGGGGAGCGTCTCATTTTGCAACAGTGGCCCGGTTAATGCCCTGTCGGTTGGTGCTGGCCTGTAGGAACTCTCTGTGTCTTCGTGAATTCCACTTACCTTTCTTGTCTTGTCCTCTGCCTTGTGTGAGGAACCTCAGGTGCGTGGAGGGGCCCTTGGCCCTGGGTGTGGCCCACGGCAGTCTTTTCCTTCCGACGGCCGGCCGGACTCTTCCCTCCGCTCAGGATGCTGTGTGCATCCCTGTCAAACTCTGGCATTCTTTTCTAGTCGGTGGACTGAGATTTGGTGCTTGTTTTTAAAGAAATGGCCAAGTAATTGCTGGGTGGAAACATCTGTCGTTGTAATCAGCACAATCACTGTATGTGGCTCAGTGTATGTCTGGAGTGAGCCGTCGAGTTGGTCTTCCTTCCTTCCTTCCTTCCTCTCCATTTCTTTCTTCCTTCCTTCCAACTTTATTTATTTATTTTTGAGAGAGAGAGAGAGAGAGACAGAGCATGCGTGCAAGCGCGGGAAGGGCCAGAGAGGGAGGGAGACACAGAATCCGAAGCAGGCCCCAGGCTC